CTCGACGAGAAGAAGACAGCAAGAAAATCAAGACTCAAGAAGACTCCCCTCTGTATAATAGTGTAATTAATAGTGCCATATTTGTAAATAGTTAGAATACAGTATATAGTTCGACAGTACCATCTTTTCTTTGAACAGTTGCCCCTAGCGTAACCCCCAATAATACAGTCCACTGCGATCCCTAACAGGTTCTGTAACCAGCTTAGGCCGAATATTGAAACAATTAGGGTTTCAATGGAAGAACACCCAAAATGAGAGAAAAGTATTAATAGAGCAGTCTAATATTCGTTTACAGCGCATTGAATATCTGCATAGTATTACAAAATATCGCTCGGAAGGCAGACCCATTATATATACCGACGAGTCTTATGTCGATTCTTCCCACAGCATGTCAAAGGCTTGGGGAGATGGGTCACAAATGGGAGTTAAAAAGAAAATTTCGAAGGGTCAAAGAGTTGTAATAGTGCACGCGGGTTCTGAAGTCGGTTTTGTACCCAACGCACTTTTAATATTTAAGGCGGGTACAAAAACCGGCGACTATCATGATAACATGAATTATGAAAATTATGAAAAATGGATCAAGAATCAAATTTGCCAGCAAATTCAGTCGTTGTTGTAGATAATGCTTCTTATCACAACAAACAAGAAGATCCTGCACCTACCTCAAACTCAAGAAAAGCAGACATGCAATCATGGCTTCGTGAAAAAAATATTGAATTTGAGGAAACAATGCTGAAGCCACAACTATACAAGTTAATTGCGAAGAATAAAGAACGCTTCAAAAAATTTAACATCGATAAAATATTGAAAGAGAATAACCACTTAGTTTTACGCCTCCCACCTTACCACCCCGATTTAAACCCCATCGAGATGGCATGGGCAGCAATAAAACAATACGTCGCAAAAAAAAAACGTTAACAGGAACGTAAATTCAGTCATGGAATTGGTCCAGCAAAAAGTTAACGAAATGGGGGAAAATGAATGGGGGGCATTGTGCCGAAAAGTGATCAAGATAGAGGAAGAGTACAAAAAAAGTGACGTTGTCGTTGATAGATTGACGGACGAATTTATAATCCATGTCAGCGACGATGAATCAGATACCGAGTCTGAGGAGGAATCAGATTCCAGCGAAGACGAAGGAAGTGATGTTTCCATGGAAGCTCCTTCCACAAGCAAAGACGTTTTTATGGAAGGGATACAGCCCTTAACTTAAAATGAAAATAAAAACTTTATATATTATTTATAAAATCTGTTTTATTTTTAACCGACTTCAAAAAAGGATGAGGTTCTTAATTCATCTGTATTTTTCTTCCTTGAACCCTCCTCATACTTGCTAACTGACATTTATGTACATATGTACAGAACTTAAAACACAAAACTTTCAGTTATTAAAATAATTAAATTGAGCCTAAATTTTTGTCAACTTGACTGTACCTGCGCGCACCTGCACTCGCAGCTAACTTCCGAACCGCCATTAAGTTTGAATCGAGCTGTATAAGTCGCGGCACGTAAGTCTAGTGCTGAACGAAACGTGGAGGGGATAGCTGTGCATTGCGCCGTATCACGTATCAGTACGGGGAACGAAATGCAACTGGAGAGCCAATCGGTGCGTGCGAACGATACGCACGCCCGCCCTGCGACAGGCTTACTACCCCATGATATCTTCTTTTCGACTTATGCTCAGTAACGGTCAGCGCTAGATTTACGTGCCGCGACTAATAACCGAACTGTTTATGTACATGACATTTTATATAGGATAAAAAGATCTATGATTGTCACCATCTCTTCTTTAGAAGGTTACGAGTATAGCCGAATTCTTAGCTTTTTTTACAGAATAAGGGTGACATACGAGCACACAGTCCACCTGATGGTAAGTGGATACTGTGGTTCATAGACATCTACATTAATAACCAATTAAGAATCAAAATGCAGATGCGTTGTCACCGCTGAGGACTATGATGGAATGCCTCATTTCCAGTAAAAAGGGTCTCCAGTTCTCTACATTCATCATGCGAAACAAATATATTATAAATATAAAGCTGCTATTTTAAATTGATATTCTGTGAGAGCGTGGTCCTACCCCGGTCGCGCCGACCCATTCATTTTCATTCATATTTCCAGACCGATACGATTTAGGGACCTTCAAGAAACGAGCTTACTCCTTTTTAAAAAGCCAGCAACGTACCTGCAATTGGGCGGCGGTTGACACTTACCATCAGGTTAACCGCATACTCGCTTGCCCTCGTTTCTTTAAAAAAAAGTTGAACCTGTCTGCTGTTTGTTGGATTTTAATACATTGAATTAGATAATACTCCCCAAAAAAAAACTCCTCAGAAAGTTTCTTTCGGGTCTTTTTGTCAAGGCCACAACTACAACACCAGGGGAATAGCAGGTGCATTGCCGGCCTTTTAAAAAGGAGCTAACTCCTTTCTTGAAGGTTTCTAAGTTGTATCGGTCTGGAAAAATCGTCCTCGTCGAAAAAAAGTCGTGCGAGGAAGAAAACTCTTAGTAAAACGCACAAGCTTTTTAACATATTGTAAATAAAATATAAACAGCTAGCGGAAAATAAAATTACGTAAGTTAACCATTATGCACTCCATGTTTTGCTATATTGCCTGTTTGGTCTTGTTATACCACAGCCTTTACTTGATCTGATGATGTATGATTTAAACAGAATCTTGAGAAGAAACAAAAATTTATTGATTTTTATTTATATTTATTATTCACAATATACGAAACTTGGTAAAAATATAAGGTTGACTCACGTGACCGTATTGGTAGGCAAACACAAAAACACTAAAAATGTAGAATATTAATAAATGGGTCAGTCACGCATAGTGTCTAATTACTAAAATGCCGACGCGGAAGAATGCATAGTGTTGCATCGTATATGCTCTGGGCCACTAGAAGAGGGTGGGTGGTGATCAAGATTGCTTGAAAAAAGATGTATTTTGTAAAATGTTGCTTTGGGCGATGTGGACCTGTTTACAATTCGAACACTGTCTAGCTGGTTGGTAACATGATCACTATGATCGGTCGTTTCTTCTTCACTAATGCTGTTTCGGACGGAGGAGAGACGAACCGTGGTGCGGTCCTCCGCCGGGGGCGCTGCCGGAGAGTTAGCTCTTGCTAACCGTGCTTGTCGCATTCGCCGCCACGTCACGCCACCCAAGATAAGTGCTGCTCCGATCAGTATATGAGAGCATAATGATGCACATTATGGTATAATACATCACTTGTCAACACCGCCTGCTCTTTCAAATCTTTTAGCTGTTTTTCTAAGTCTGAAAATTGTTTTTGGCGGTCGTTGATAGTTTAATTTTTTATAGACGACATCGGGATCGCCGCGTTGATGATATTGTTTATCGGACTGAGGTCTTCAACCTTGATGTCTGGGCTCGCCTTGATAACGATATGGTCAAGGTTACGAGCATGCACCGTAAATAGGTCGGACTTGACAATACACCCATGTGAAATGCTGACGACTCCGACACGCTCACCTGATCTGCGCACGTCACTCGTAACTGACACCTCCCACAACAAAAGTGTAAGTACTTGTTTATATTGTTTAATTCAGTATATTTTTTATTGCAGGAGTCCACAACAGTTTTAAACTGTGGTTTACTATTATCGAAATCACAGAGTGTCTCGTCTTGTGAGAGATGGTAAACTGGTTTCTTCAAGTGACATAAGTACATGTCATTCATCATAATCTATATCCATCACAATGTATGCATCCTTTTCTAGGTTTATGGCTTTATGGTCACGTATTTCGATATTAGTGTCGTGTTAACCATCTTGCTGTTATTAATCCTGGTCGGTACTGGAATAAGATGAAATATTTCGAAGGAATCTCTACTGAGGAGCGGCACCTTTATCACGAACAGTAGGTAATCTTCGCAAATTCTGGCCCTTATTGTTAAGAGATGATAAATACTTTGAAGGCTTGCTTGTATGTTTTCGATTAGTAAGGCCAGCTCCTTCGATATTTGACTTGCTATAACACCAAGTTCATTTCTAAGCTGCTCTGGAGACAAGAGATGGAAATTAAATCTCCCATGATAAATCCCTGTGATAAATATGTGTATCCAGCAATGATTCTTGCACGCTTCCTAATTCCTGTATCATACTGCTTGCAGCTACGGCTGCCAAAGTTAATTGATTCACTTGAGACATGTTGACGACCTCTGAGTTTAATATGTTCACGGCGTTTTCTATATTTAGCATCTGTCTGTTTATTAACTTATGCTGCTTGTTCATATCTTCTTCACTCCTTTTAAGTAAGTTATACTCCGCTTCGACTATTGATGTTTGATTGTGCCACAATTTTGCTGATTGTCACGGATGAGTGTTATGTCATTTTGGTATTTTTGAGCAAAATTCTCATCTAAAATTCGAAATAATGTGTCGTGATACTGCCGAGTCCATTGATCAGTCGGATCAGACCGGCGGTGACGCGAGAGCATGCGCGATTGTTGTGTCATCAAAATAGTATTATAATGCTGGAACTCGGAGTAACTATGACGTAGTATAATGCCACTGTTATGGATCGCAGTGGACTGTATTATTGAGGGGGTAGGGGGGTGTACGCTAGGGGGCAACTGCTCAAAGAAAAGATGGTACTGTCGAACTATACTGTATTCTAACTATTTACAAAATGTGGCACTATTAATTAAACTACTACACAGAGGGGAGTCTTCTTGATGGAGTCTTCTTGATGGAGTCTTCTTGAGTCTTGATTTTCTTGCTGTCTTCTTCTCGTTGAGTGCCGCTTCCGAAATGAACAACAATCGTCCGGGACGCCCTTCTTATATTTCGCCGGAGAGCGTCTCAGGTCGTGCGTAGCGTCGTCCGCGATGCCGCGCGCTCATTGGTCGGCGACATCGCGTGATCTGCTGCCGGTGTGCGGGGTGCGCGGGGCGCACCGGGGTGTGAAGGGGCGACGGGGCGGCGGCCTCCTCGCTGTCCGCTACATCCTCCCCCCGGCGTAGCCTGCGAGCCTAAGCTTCTTTCGGGAGGACGGCGATCTTCCTGACGGGCCGCCGCAGCACTCCTCCCTTGGTCCGGACCTCGACGTTCCGTACCACGCCGTCTGGTCCAGGAAACGTCTTCGTTACGATGCCCCGCGGCCACACGTTCCTGGGTAGGTCGCCGTCTGCAACCACGACGAGGTCCTCTTCCTGTATTTGGCGCTGCCGAGCATCTCTGGAGTCCCCGCGCGCGACCAGCGTCGGCAGGTACTCCTTCACCCAGCGCCTCCAGTATTCGTCGGCGAGTCCTTGCGCCGCTCTCCACGCCCGACGATCCATAGATGTGCACGGCGCGGTGACTGGCAGGCCCGATGGTCCCAACAGTAGGAAGTGGTTGGGTGTCAGCGCCTCTTCATCGTCGATGTCGACTGGTACGTGCGTCAACGGTCGAGAATTTATAGTATTTTCGGCTTCCGTCAGAAGCGTTGCCAGCGTTTCTTCTCGTGGGCTCTTCTGATGGAGAGTGGCTTCGAGCGCGGTCTTCACTGAGCGCACGAGACGCTCCCATGCGCCTCCCTGGTTAGGCGCGCCCGGTGCGATGAACTTCCAGTCGACGCGCCGAGTCAGCGCGTAATCCTTCAGCTGTGGCGCCCACTCTTCCATCGCCCGTCGTAATTCTGTGTTTGCCCCATGAAAATTAGTCCCATTATCCGAATAAATAACCCGTGGCCACCCACGCCTAGCCGCCATGCGCCGCAATGCCGATATCGCCGAGTCCGCGGTCAGAGAATAGACTATCTTTAGATGTACTGCGCGCGTCGTTAGGCACGTGAACAGTGCCACCCACCGTTTTTCGTGCCGTCGTCCTATCGTAACCGTCAGAGGCCCGAAATAATCAATCCCGGTGTTCGTAAATGGTCGCGCAAACGCCCCTAACCGTTCAGGTGGTAGGTCTCCTGTAACCGCAGGTCGTGGTGTCGCCTTCCGTATTCTGCATCGTAGGCATCTCCGCTCCGCTTCCCGTACTGTAAGTCGTAATCGGAGGATATGATACCTAGTGCGCAGGTCGTTCACCACCCTCTCCCTATTGGCGTGGCTTGCTTCCTGATGCGCCTTCTCCACAAGCAGCTTCACAAATTGGTGACGTCCATTCAGGGTAATGGGTCTCTTCATTTGACCGTCCACGTCGGCTGCGTCGATCCTTCCCCTGGCTCGTAGCACTCCATCCTCCAATATGGGGTCGAGCTTCCTTAGTGCGCTGCCGGTGGTCAAATTCTTTCCCCGCTGAAGGCGGCTGATGTCTTCAGCGAAGCTTTCCTGCTGGCTGTGTTGTATCCACATCCGTTCTGCTTTCTGAATGTGCTGTAAGGTCAGTCCTCGTGCTCTTCCTCGTGCCGCATCGAGGAATTGTAGTACTCTTGCAGTGGCCCTGATTAACTTCTCGTAAGCAGAGAATCTCTCTATGTCTGGCAGGTGTGGAGCTTCCTGGGTGTCGCTCTGGTGCGCCACGATTTCCTCCAACTCTTCATCATCCCCCGCCTTCTCTTCCTGTCGGTGAGGCCATCTGTCTTCATGCTCGTAGAGGAAGGGTGGTCCGGTAAACCACTTGTCGCTCTCTTCCTTAGTTGTGAAATTCATCCGCGTTGCCTGATCCGCTACGTTTTCCGCAGTCGGTATCCACCTCCATTGCTCGGGTGATGTCTTCTCAGCTATCTCCCCTAACCGGTGAGCAACGTATGGAGTGTAACGCGCCGTATCGTTTTGTATCCAGTGGAGCGCCGTAGTAGAGTCCGTCCAATATACGACCCTATCCGCTACCACTCTGTGTTCGTCCTGCACGAATTCCGCGAGTCGCGCGCCTATTAAGTTCACCTGCAACTCTAATCGCGGTATACTTTGCGCTTTAATTGGGGCGACTTTCGCCTTAGCCGCCACTAATCGCACCCTAATCGTTCCGTCGCGATATCGTATACGCCAATACGCCGCGGATGCGTACGCACGTTCGCTCGCATCATTGAAGACGTGAAGTTGACGCTCTACAACTCCCCCCGTAGGAGCATAGCACCTTGGCAGTCGTAGTCGTGATACCTCCTCGACGACTCGCAGCCATCGCTGGAATTCCTCTGCTGCCTCCTCGGGTAGTTCGTCGTCCCATCCGACCTTCTTCATGCGCCATAAGTCTTGTAGCAGGATCTTGGCGGTGATGGTGAGGTAACTCAGCAGTCCAAGCGGGTCAAAAACGGACATGACCGCGCTTAATGCTTCCCTCTTGGTCGGTGGTCGCTGTAGCGCCTTCACTTCTTGCGGCACCCTATTCATTGACGTGTTGAATGTTAGGGCGTCTTCATCAGCCATCCATAATAACCCTAAGGTTCTGCCTGGGCTGTCTTGTCCTAAGCCTACTTCTTTAGGCTTACGCGCCAGTAAGTCCTCCGGCTTGTCTTCTAACAGGGCTGCGTGGTTGGAGTTCCATCCTGCCAAGGTGAAACCGGCCTGCTGGTGCACTTCCAAAACCTGCTTCGCCGTATTTATCGCTTCCTCTACCGTGGCATAACTGTCTAAATAATCATCCATGTAATGGCTACGTATGATAGCGTTAAGTGCCAACGGGTGTGTCTCTGCGTGTACGCGCGCGTTATGATCCCTAACGCTATGTGCGAGAAACGGCGAGCTCCTCGCACCGAAAATCATTGATGTCATAACGTACTCCCGCGGTGGGCTGTGTCGCTCGTCTCCTCGCCAAAGAAACAACTGCGCGGGCTGGTCGCGACGGTCGATCTTTACACGCAAGAACATCTCCCTAATATCCGCGGACACCGCTATCTCGTTTTCCCTAAATCGAAACAGTATGCCCGGTAGGTTCCGTAATAAGTCGGGGCCGTCGAGTAAATAATCGTTAAGGCATCTGCCGGATGCACGCGCTGCCGCGTCGAACACTAATCTCGTCTTCCCCGGCTTGTTCGGATTCCGTACGGCGAAGTGTGGCAGGTACCAGCTCTTGGGATCCTCTCGCTCTGTCCCTTCGGCTTCCCTTGCGTATCCCTTCGCCAGGAGGTTGTCTATCTGGGCTGTGTAGGCGTCACGAAACTCCGGCGACTGGTCCATCTTCCTCTCGATCGTCCGTAGTCTTCGCGCTGCCATCTCGTAGCTGGGTGGCATCCGCACGTTGTCGTCCTTCCATGGCAGTCCCACTTGGTATTGCTCGCCGACCTTCTTGACGGTGCGCTGGAATATGTCGACAGCGCGCTCCTCGTCCCGTCGCGGCCTACTCTTCAGCGAGATACCTATAGAGTCTATCTCGTACTGCCGTTTGAGGAGTTCCGTTAGCTCCTCGTCCCGACTGGCAAACGTTCGGATGTCCCTATCTGACCGTCCGCTAGCGCTCTCTACGTGTAATACGGTCTCGCCGTCTTCCCTACACGTTAACCGCGGCACGGTTCCCTGAATTACCCATCCTAATAACGTTCGTGCAGCTATAGGCTGCCTTCGACGTCCTATCCTTAAAGCACGGGTAATTATCAAATGCCAATTGTCGGCGCCTAATAGCAGTCTTGGCTTCGCGTCGTCGTATCACACCGAACTCGGTAAGTCACGTAATTGCTTTAATCGTAAGCACTCCCTACTCACGGACTGCGAGCCTATCTTCAAGTCGGTTATTGTTCGCGCGTTTATGTTAAACATCTCGCTGCGCGTCTTGCCACGTATCCCTATATTGACTAATCTACTATTAGCCTCGCGTTGACTGTTCCCTACGCCTTTAATGTTGAGCGGCTTTATCGGTCCTTCCGCTCCTAACTCGCGAGCTAAGTCGTCGTCGATTAGCGATATCGTAGAGCCTTCGTCAAGTAGCGCGTACGTGTTCACTTCCTTTCCGCGTGGTCCGCGCACGGTTATCGGACACACTTTTAACAATACGGATGCACTACTGCTAACACTCGACGCGACGAGCACGGTTTCGTCCGGTTTAACCGACGCTGCAGGCGTACGGGCCTTGCGGGTGTGAAGAAGAGCGTGGTGGGGGGCGTTACAACCGTCGACGCCGCACTTCTTGGCTTTGCAGCGTATACGTCGGTGCTTGCTGCTCAAGCACCTGAAACATACCCCTTCTTCCCTAACCCAATTCCACCGGTCGTCCGAGCCCATTTGCTCTAACTTCTTACACTTGACGATAGGATGTTCACCTCCGCAACACATACATGAGGCACTACCGGTGTCCTCCTGGGCGGTGAACGTCTTTACGTCGCGGGCCCTATCTTCTACGCGGCGTGTTAACACTATTCTTTTCGACGGCGGCGTCTCTCGTCTTACGGGCGATTCCTTATTCGACGCTACGGACGTATAGGCATGACTTAACGCACGGTCAGCCTCTCTCATCATGAACCGGGATAACGTAACGATGTCCGGTTCGTCCGCACTTCCGTAGTGCTCCGCATAATCGCACCAACGCGACCGTAAGTGAGGGCTAAGTTTGCTAGTAACCTCCCTAGTCAGCATTGGATTACGCAAATAACCCTTGCCGTCGACGTTTTGCATAATGCACACTATATTTTGTAACTTAATTGCGAACGAGTTTAATTCCTGGGCGGTTTGACCCGGGCGCGGAAGGCGTTTCAATTCTTCTAACGCACGATCTATAATTACTTCCGGGCGGCCGAAACACTGCTCCAGTGTCCGCATAATGTCTGCCGGATCCTTCGCGGTAAACAGCAGAGCCGATACTACCTCTCTAGCCTCACCGCGTAAACAGTTCCTTAATCTTGCCATATTTTCCGTATTTGTGAATCCATATAAACGCGTGGATTCATTCATCGCGGCTTTAAATGCTAACCATTCCGCGGCCGAGCCGTTAAAAATAGGCAAGTCCTGCGTCTGTTTCGCGGCGGCTGGTCTAACTCTAACCATGTTTTCTAAAGCTTCCGCTAGCCGTTCTATAACCCTATCCTTCCCTCGCGGGGTGAGCGACCTATATCTATCCCTATTTCCTTCTAGCCTACGCTGTGGCGCCGGCGACCTATGTACACCTACATCCCTATGACGCGGCGACGGTAATCTACGATCCGCAAGGCGATGTGGCGATTTATTTCTGCCTACATCATTACACGGCGACGGTGATCTACGATCCGTGTGGTGATGTGGCGATGGCGATCTATGTATACCTACATCCCTATGACACGGCGACGGTAATCTACGATCCGTAAGGCGATGTGGCGATCTATGTGTAGGCGATAGAGTGCGGCGTTGGACGCGCGACGGCGACGTAGCTCGTACACGACGATCCACCTGGTTCATTTCTACGGCGACTCCATTATCCCTCTGTATCCTATTTACGCGGCGCGGTTGAACGTCATTCGCGACCGACTTCCCATGGGCATCTTCAGCGTGGTCGTAACCGGTTCCCCTCCTCGGTGGGGCCTGCTCTATCTCGATGCGGGGCGCGGGCTGAGGCGGGCGGTAGGGCGGCTCCCCCCGCACAGTCTCTACGTTTTCTAACCACCTATCAACGCGTACCCTATTTTCGACTAATTCGTCCTCGTTTAGGCTTTCCCTATCGGTTTCTTCTTGCAGTTGTGCGATATCCCTAGCATATTTCTTCTTGACGAGATCTTCCTCTATTTGCAATTGCTTCCTCCTAATTGCAGCTAGTTCCTCCGCGGCATTATATTCGATTTGTTTTAATCTTGCTACTGCGCTAGCTGTCGACCGGGCTGAACGGACTGAACGGACCGACGGGGCGCGGGACGCGGGCCTATGTACAACGTCTGCTACAGGCGCGACGGTACGCACTATCGAACTAGTTTCCGTAGTCGGAAGATCTTCTATTATCGCGGCGAGCGTTTCTGTGCGCGGCGCGGATGTGCTAACTTCTCCCAAGCGATCGGTTGTAGACACGGACATAGCGGGGCGCGGCGGCGCGGGCGCGGGCGCGGGCATAGATGCGGGCGCGAGCGGGGGCTGCGGCGCGGCGGAGGGCGCTTGTGCCAACGCGAGATAATCGGACGGGGACGCGGGTGCTTCCTCGAATATCCGCATTCCTACTGGCGTTTCGTCGTCGTTCCGTGTCTTCTGGCTTCTTGTCTTCCGCATGATGGTATCCCTCGTTGCGACCTCCGATCGTCTTCAAAAAGACGCACGTATTGGACGCCGTTCCCGCCTCAAGGGCGTTACCGGATGGTCACAGTTTGGCACCGTTAGGGAGCAACCACCCGGCCGCGTAAACGCGGTTAAGAAACAGGAATTGTCTGGAAACAGACAATATATATGACGTCGATGTAAATAAGAAACGAGGAAGGAGTTAGCACCGACGATCTTCTTTCTTCGTCGACGTACTTCTTTCTTCCTCGAAGATCTTCTGTAATGATCTTCTTTCTTCTGTAATTATGTTCTCTCTTCTATAATTATGTTCTTTCTTCAATAATTATGTTCTTTCTTCAATAATTATGTTCTTTCTTCAATAATTATTTTCTTTCTTCTTTCTTCTGGCTTGAATCCGGCGACGATGGACCAAGAACTTGTTATGGATCGCAGTGGACTGTATTATTGAGGGTATAGGGGGGTGTACGCTAGGGGGCAACTGCTCAAAGAAAAGATGGTACTGTCGAACTATACTGTATTCTAACTATTTACAAAATGTGGCACTATTAATTAAACTACTACACAGAGGGGAGTCTTCTTGATGGAGTCTTCTTGAGTCTTGATTTTCTTGCTGTCTTCTTCTCGTTGAGTGCCGCTTCCGAAATGAACAACAATCTTTTTTTTTTTTTTTTTCTGAATGAGTATGCTGTTGGCCCTGCGGCCTTGACAGCTTCGTCTAATTAGGTTCGTAAGTGAGTACTTACGAACTATTGAGTGCAACGATTCTGCCGTCGGCGAGGCGGCGCGAAGCGCCGCTTCGCCGACAGCAGTCCCGAGGCACCCCGACCCCTGCTTTCGGAGTGAGGCTCCTCGAGCTAGGGGGGGGCTCGATGCGATTCAAGGGCCCCTCAGATGGAGGTACGAACCTCGGCTTGAATCGCTATCGCAATTTTATTGACGAGTCGCAAAAGTTAGAAACGCCCCGTATCACGGGTGTTAAACCTCGTGTACGGAGTGTGTCTGTGACGTCGCATTCGCCGGCGATTGCGGTGTGCCCTAGTGTTCTGTACTAGAGTAGTGTCTGTGTGTGTGTTAGTGTTTATATTTACTAATCTAATTCCCTCATCTGTGGAGGGGGGGGGGGGGGGGGGGATCGACCTATTTATGGAAGTGATCTCGTCATCGGGATCAAGAAGAACGTTCTTGGGACGTCTCCTTCGGGGGGCAACATCCCTCAGTGGGGAGTACGAGCCCGCCTCATTCACCAACGGATTTTCGTGATCTTTTATCGACTCGAAGTATCTTAAGGATAGTTCCTTAAGATACGTATGTAAAGTGGGCATATCGAGGTCGCGGTGGAGATCCGCGTTCCTCACATAGTACGGAGCTCCTGTGATCTGACGCAGGAACTTATTCTGAACAACTTGAAGTTGTTTTAGGCTCGTTTTATTGGCATGCGCAAAGGAGACACCCGCGTATGTCATAATAGGACGTACGCAGGTTTTGTAAAGATGCAGTTTGTGTCTTAGGGACAGCTTACTGCGTTTGTTGGTTAAGGCAAAAAGACGATGCACAACGTATTTTGCCTTATTACTAACTTTTTTAATGTGCTGAGAGAAGCTCATTGCACAATCTAAAGTCACCCCCAGGTATTTTACCTCTGGAACCCACGGTATTGGGCTGCCGTATAGGGAGATCGTACCTAATTTATATTTTTTAATCTGAGCCAGTAATTTGTTGTAATAACACCTTCTGTTGAAAAAGATGGCTTTGCTCTTATCGGGGTTCAGTTCGATTCTCCATTTTCTGCACCAATCGCCTAGTGCGTTTGCTGCAGCTTGGAGTCGACTGCAGATTATAATGGGATGGGTGTCTGAGGAGTAAATGGTAGTATCATCCGCGTATAGTGCGAGATGGGTACCTATTACCGAAGGAATGTCACTTGTGTAAAGTGAGTACAGGGTTGGGGAGAGCACCGAGCCCTGGGGAACTCCTGCCCTGATTGTTCTGGAAGAGGAGAATGTACCCTCCACGCGAAAACGAAAGGATCTATTTGTAAGAAAATCTTGTACGATTTTGACAAGTCTTAAGGGCACCCCTGTATGGATAAGTTTGAAAACTAGTCCATTGTGCCAGACTTTGTCAAAGGCCTTGGCCACATCGAAGAACAGTGCTCCTGTGTAAACAGGGCGTCTGTTCGCCTTTGCAGCCTGATCTAGAATGTGCTCCGTGAGGCGGTGCACCTGTTGAACACTTGAGTGTTTGGCTCGAAAGCCAAACTGCTCGTTTGGAATTAGGTTTTTTACTAGCACTGCATCCTTCAGACGGCTGAGGATGATGCGCTCATAGATTTTCCCCATGGCACTGAGGAGACTGATGGGCCTATAGCTAGAAGCTCTGTCTCTAGGTTTATTCGGTTTGTGAATACCGATTACTTCTGCTTCTTTCCA